CATGCATGCTCGCACAATGGCACGGCACATACACAGTCACCTTCACCGTCAGTGACTGAATCTGGCTGATCTGCACAGGCGACTGCCACAGCCTGGGCAGATAGATGTGAGGGGGTGGAGTCGGTGTGATTGTCCCCCCAAAGGAAAATAGATTCACCTCCTTGAGGTCACAATCCCGCAACCACATACTGTTTGCCACTGAGCCACCTGATGATAGTATGAGATGACATGACCCACCTAGTGCACGCTTCATAATAACTCCATTGACTCTGCTGAGTGTTCTGCAGACTGACCCTCGCCAGCTGAAGGTTCCATCAAATAAATAGAGGGTGCATCACTCTTATTTGAATCATTTTTACGTTTTCGGTATGAAATTTCCTTAGAAATGTTAGAGAAGGGTGCTATTTCCGTTTTCAGTCTGTATGGAATTTCCACCACATTTCGAAAATTAACAAGTACCGTTAATACTTTTTCCTCCCTTCTTTTTTTTATAAACTAATCTATATTCTTCTCTCAATCTACTTATATATTGTCAAACAGTACATATTGTCACATAACTACGAACTAAACGAGCGTACTTTACGAAACAAGCGGTAAAGATTAAAAAACAGGACAAAGACGAGGGGCACACTGAAACCATTTATTCTTCTTTTAACCCCCTTCATCATGCCTCTCACGTACAAGGCTCACCATGCTGATGAAGTTGAGCGCGAGCTGCCCACATCCCTGTGTGCCATAACGGCCCACTTGTACGCTGTGAGAAAGAGGCAGAGTAAGGGGGGAGGTGAAGAGAAGATAAAGAGAGAAAAAGGGGAAGGGAAAGTACGGAGTGTGGAATAAAGACGAAGGGAAAGGCGAGGATAAGAAACAGCATATATATTTTGCCCATCTCATCCTCTCGCTACTGTATGTATAGTATGGGGGAATACCACCCAAACCTAGAACTCTCCCCAGCCCACAGAGTAGGCTTGCACCACAGCACAGAGTTATTCAAGGTTGGGTCAGCAGGCACAACTTTGGGTACGAGGTTGCGCAAGCCAACATAGTTGCAGGGTGTTGGTCCGGGTGCTGTTTTCCTTTTTTGGGCTGCATCCCTGGTTTTCTTCGTCGTTTATATTCATCATTTGCCATTTAGTGTCAGCGGTTGCTGGAGTGGAATGGTGGAGCATCGTCAGGCAGAAACATCAATGGGGCAGACTCGCAATGTGGTGCAGAGAGGAGAATCGCTTGATGGAGACATGAAGGTGGCAGTTGACACACATGGGATTGGGCAGGAACCGATTTGGTCATACGAGTACGCAGCTTTTCCACATGTTTGCGACTCTTTCAAGTGCCCTTGACCTCGCAGGTCATAAAGAGAGAAAGATGCAGAGAGGGGGAGAGAGGGAGAGAGCCACCCTGCTCTTCATCCTCCAAGAGGAGTGGAAGTGAAAGAATGATGGAGGTGGAGGTGGAGAATTTGGATGGCAATTTTGAGAAGGGGTGCAAAGGATGTTTGCGGTAGCATGGAGAGAGAGAGAGAGAGAGAGAGAGAGAGAGAGAGAGAGAGAGAGAGAGAGAGAGAGAGAGAGAGAGAGAGAGAGAGAGAGAGAGAG